TAATGACCTTTGAATCTCCTGGGTCTTGCTCAGACCTGCCAGGCTGTGGTTCCACACGGGTGGCTTTTTCCAGCCAGTAACATTTAATTCAACTCCAGAAGTCCATACTCTCCATTTAAGATGTCACCAGGTCTACCTTTGCAATGGTAGCTGCAAGTAAGCTTAGAGGTCACTAGACAGGAAACCTGGGGAAAGATTAGCCAGGACAGTGTGTCCTCTCTGTGAACAGGCCTACCTACAACAAATTTCCACTACAGTGTATTCTTTTTATCAGCAACATCCTTCATATTTTTCTTTCTTTTTAAAATCATGCAAAACTTGCAACACTAAATATTTTTAAAATATAGAACACATTTCTATACAAACTGCTACCACCAACTTAACAGGCATGAAAATATAGTACATCCAATCTACAAAATTAACCTCTTGCTTTTTTCTTGTCAAAAAAGGAGTTGCTGGCTCTCTTCCTCTGGGCTTTCTATATGGAATGACAAAATTTGAGGACAGATTCAGGTATTGATTTTTCACAAATACCCATTTTTCCAAATCAGTGTGTGATTGTGTGGTCACAATACCTTCATAACACCTTTTCGTGTTCCTCAGAATTTAGAATTACACATTTATGCTAAAACAGAAATACAGCTAATGATAGATCATCTCCTCCTCCAAAACCTTTAAAGATAGCAGGATGTAAAGATTATCAAGGATCTCAGAGCTCTCTTTTATATTCATTTCACAGATGCTACACCACACAAGTGGGATCAGCAGAAAGCAGCCCTCCTTCCCACCTCTTAGTGAGTATGTCTTTCCTTTGCTTTTTTTTTCCCCCTCAGCAACAAGTTGGCAACTCTAAGGTTCTTCTGAGATACGGTGGCATTAACTCTGTGTGCATAAAAAGTAAAATACCTAAAGTCTATTTCTGTGATTACAGCTTCCAATGATAACAGCTTTCATTGCCAGGCAGAAAACCTCAAAGATTAACTTGAATTTGAGAGCAGAACATTGGCATCGGTGTGGGCTGAATCACCACAGCTGGACATCTCAGGTAGCTCACTTCAAGCTGCAGGTGTTTGAGAAATTTGACAAGGTCCTCCCTTTATTTCAACAGTAGCAGTACAGAAGCTTTGTGTTAAATAACAGGCTTTGGGAATGTTAAGCTCCTTCTTGTGTTGTTTAATTTAGGCCCCACAATGGTATATTATTTTCATTTTTTTTTAAATAATATTGTGTTCTGTTAATGACCATATTAATTTTGCAAAAATAGCTTTTTCATATGGGACAATACACTCTTGAGACACAACAATCACTATTGTTGCTAAAACTGCTTGTGATAAGAAGTGGATCTTCAAATGCAGATATTTAGGGTAAAAAGGAAACTGCGGAACATAACAATTCAAAATTAAGTCTTTTGAGCCAAAGCTGTACCACTTTTAGCATCAAAGCATCTTATTAGACTATTAAAGGAAAGCTTTGCATCTTGTCAGCAGCTCTTTTGGGTCATGGGTATAAATATTTCCAAGTAATTTATGGCCAGACAACAAACTCAGGGATTTAATATTTCAACTATTTGCTAAATGTCCGCTTCTACAGAAAATAAACAAAATGTAACAACCCACACAGAGAACTGCTTACAGAAAATTATTCTGGCAAATTGTAGTATATATCTGAAATATTTCATGACAATCATAACATCCTTTCATGGTTTATATCCAAGATGACAGGTTGTAAATTCTGGAATAAGTTTGGATAATAGCACATACCTCTTTTATCTGTACTTACGCCTTCCATTTTTACCTTCTCATATTTACACTGATTGACAATTTCTGAACGAATACCCGTTATCAGAGTAAATCTTCTAGGCCCTATCCTTTACTTTGATTTAAAAATTCCTGTATTTTCTCACATGGGAATAGTCCTCTAGTGAACAGACGCTGCTGCCACAGACTTGGAATTTTTGCAGTTACATTTTGAGTCCCTCTCTAGAGATCTGCAAACCATATGTTAAAATGCATTGTCCCCAGTCTCCAACACATCTCATGGAAAGCAAACATTTAAATAATTTATTTATAAGGTACCTAAAGCTCTTTATTGGTGGCAGCAATTTCATTTGCAGCAGCAATAGGCCATATTTCTGATTACAGATACTTCTATGGTTGACTAGAAATTATGATTCAAATGCCACCAAGGGCATCAGTATTATTCAGTGGCAGTGAAGGTGTCACAGCTCCCTGCTTTACTGGGAAGAGACCTCATGATGTGTTTGCCTGGATCACCAATTACAGTATTTTCCTAAAAGACTAGAGAGTTTTCAACCAAAAAATCAAAAGTAAAAGGTTTGTACATAAGTCTGCCTCAAAAATAGTGTTTTTGCAGACAAGTCTTTGCTGCCAGTTCTGATTTTACCCAGCTTGGTGAATGTCTGAGATACAATAAACTCTGTCCATTCTCCCTTGGTCTCTGGCCAGATTTTCCACCACTATTAGTATGTGGCAAGCTGCTGCTTGCCCCTAAACCTGCCACACCTTGCAGGACAAATAATTTCCAATGTGAGAAAAATGTTACTTTTCATATGAGTCTGCCTCCACTTCCCACAATCTCCTTAAGAGACATAAGAACTGTACAAAAAACTGGATTTTTGTCAGATTACAAAGTTTCCTTGTGATTATACTTTAAACTTCTACAAGCTAAAAAACTTGGGTTTAGGTGTTTAACTGTACCAAAATCCCACCCTTTTCCTTGGTATAGCTCAGGAAAAAACTCTGCTGCCAATTTTCTCTTCAAGACACAATGTACCTCTAAGAATAGATCTCACCCCAGTTTTCCTTAACTTAAAGCTATTTTTGTAATATCCCTCTTGGCTTTGTGTTTTGGTTTGTTTTTTAAACAATTATGACAATTAGCAGTGAAATAGATATCAGTGATGAAATAAACCTCCTTCAGTGGTGTCTTGTGCTACCTCCCATTCGACAACAAAGGCCACGATAGACAGAAAGAATATGCTCAGTACTGATTTGATTTCCATGCACATCTCTGTTCTGCACTACTAGAGAATTCATTCTTGTCTGTGCACTACCCAAAATCCATGTTTATTGTTAGAAGTGAATCACCACCAGATTTGCATACATTATAATATGTACAGAACCACACAGATGTATCAGATAATCTAGATTTCTATACAAAGCCTTGAATAAACAGCAAGGTACAAAAAGAAAATCAATGATGCTCACTCTCTAATTTTGCTCTATTCAAACAGAATAAAAACAAATTTTCACTATGACATATTTAATCCTGAGAGGTTTGAAAATTAAAATTTGCAGTAAGAGATTGTTTTAAAAAAATCAGCTGGTTTTTGCCTCTTTTCAGTATATATAGGAATATATATATATATATATATATATATATATATACACACACACTATTCAATCTTTTAGATATAGTTGGCTATTCAGTACAACAAGAAAAACTATACCTTGTAAGCTTTCCAGGTGAAAGAAATTATCCTCATCTTACAGAGAGCAGTGACCATTAGAACAGAACTGCAGTGAGCACTGTTTCATGATATTTGTGATTTGGGCATGCAGACACCAGAACTTGTGATTTTGCTCCCCAGTCTTTCTTCTGACAGCTGCACCACTGCAGACTCAACTATTTCTCAAGCTCGTTATTTTCATACAAGACCTACAATGGCCAGCTTTCTTCAGACTTTCTGGTCCACAGAGGAAGGACCAGATCTGTGTGTTATATATTGAGAGAAAGAAAAAAAAGAGGTATTTGTAGCTGACAGACAGTACCATATGTATTTATCAACTGCAGATGAAGAAAGTTTCAAAATTTACCACAAATATTTCCAATTAAATATTTCAAACTCAACAACAATATCGAATATAATACTGTGTTCCTTTAAAAGGAATAAGATATATTATATAATTTTCAGGGAGCTTTAGAAATAATTTTCAGAGAAAATTAATTCAGGAAAGTGAAAATATTCCCTGATTAATTTCTGTTCTTCTAGACTTTTGTTTAAGCATGCTACTACTGATATAGTAATCTTGTTTCAGTGTACAAAACTACAAAAGGTCTGATGTTTCATTCTATGATACTCATCTAGTTCAAGAAAAACACTAAGAAAATATATTTTGATACCAGTGTAATCAGTGTACACTACACATCATGTCAGTATGATATGCATTTGCATTTTTTTTTAATTATATCTGGATGTATTTTTGAAAGCTCCCTTCAAAAAGAAAGAGAAATGTTTCTAGAATTGCATTTTTGCTGTGAATCTTGAAGCAAATCCAACCTTACTTATAGAAATTATTTTTGTTACCTTGATAGGAAAGAAATCACTTTTTGAATGTCTCCAGAGTGCCCTGCTTGGCAAAAATGTGAATTAATGTTCCCTTACCTCTGACTTATCAGGCTCCTTTGAAATGTCTGGATGAACCCCCAAGAATTAGAGACCCCAAAATCACTTCTGAAAACTCATCCAATCTTAAACCCTGGTAGGAGCAAATAGAAGATAGTTTCAAATCGGGGGGGAGGGAGGGGGGGGATATGCACCATCCAGTTTCAAGAAAAGGCATTCAGGTAAATATGGCTTAATCTCAAATCTCCTGCTACTCACTGAACTGTAAGTCCCATTCATGCACCCTGAAAAATTACCAATTGCAGTCCCTTCTACACTGCCACCTCTGGGGTATCTTGGATCTCCACACTTTGGGACTCCCTTGCAGTAACACTGCTTAAATGCATCCAGTACAGAACAGCAAGAACCAATCTAGAGATTTTTTTTTCTATAGCATCTCTTTGCTACCCAAACTTTGTCAGCCTCCACTGCGCAGACACAAGACACACCCAGCAAACTTCAGATCTAATGCCTTTTTCCTCTGCAAAAGGACAAAACTTCCACTCGTTTTGACATTAAAACCTTTTCCCTGTATCAAGTTTTCACAAAATAATCCATCTGTTTTATAAAATATCTTTTATTTGTTAATTCTCACCTGCTTATTATGCATCTGGCAGTGCGTTCATGAAGCATAATTTCTCTGCAAAGACATAATAAAACAATACTTGTGGCTAAAACCTGCTTACTCTGTAAGTAACTGCATCTCTTTTCTGTGCCTGTGACACAGGAAACAATACCCAAGGATGTCACAGAAAGGTACCTAAAGAAATGGGGTCATGTTAATGCAACAAACCCAGATTATTTTACTCTTTTGGAGTGGGTTCTCAGTGACAGATAAACATTGCACTGCCTTATTGCTACTTAATGCATCCAACTTGCAATTGAACTTCTTCATCTCTGAATTTTGGACCAAAAATTTATATTGTACCTTTTTTACACATAAATAATGAAATGGAGACTGCATAAGTGTTCAGTAATAAATTATCTGCAAAAAAAAGAAATTACATCAGCTTAAGGAACGTTTGTTAAACAGACTGCATTAGAAAAACTACATGGAAAGGATTAAGACCAAACCTGTTATTTTTCACTTTCGTTTATCAATGCTGTGTCTTTCATAAGGTAGAAAAGTTATTTACAGGCTCAAAAAGAGTACTATTATTTATCAGGCTAAACAATGAAAAAAAATGGCTCTTGTGAGGGTGGCTGTTGTTAGCAATTAGCTGCCGTACTGATCTCAAAACTTTCTTCTGCAATATAGACCTTAACTGCAATAACTTCATCACACACTTTTCCTACAGTTCCTTTTAGGTTCCTATAGTTCCTTTTATGTTTTTCATCATTTCTCACTTATTTCTGTGTAAATATATATATATATATATATATATATATATATTAAACAAAATCTTGTGAGTGGCACTACTGGTGGCTATGTTTATTCTAGATCCAAAATATATTACAGAGAGGATTTTTTCATAGTTATTTCTGCATATATATTCTACATGGATTTTGTGAATGATCTGAGCAGGGTTGGCAGAACAGACTGCTGCCTTTTCCACCCACTGGAGGCAGAAAAGGTGTTCATACCAAACAGGAATCTACACAGGACTACTAGCTACCATTAGGTTTAGCAAACTGCTAACAGTTTTCAGGTCATATTATCAGCTTGGGACGTAGGTAGAATTTAGACATCTGGATTCTATTGAAAGTGCCTATTTATTTAAGTTTTATTCCAAATTCTTCCTCTGAGGAAATTTAAGGTCTGCACAATTCCCAGACATGGAATGAGGACTCAAGAAGCCAGTGAATTTTGGGACTGACACATTCTAAGGAGAAGCATAAGTACTCATACTTGGAGCATGGCAACACAGGCAGGGAGAGGGAGCTGATCTTTGTACATAAAAATCTCAGGATCAACAAAAAGGCCCACTTATTTGCATAGAAATTCTAAATCCTCATCAATTTAATGGAAGCCTGGAATACTCATGAATTGTTGGCCAAGATACAGACTGGAAAAGTTCCCAAAAAAGTGTTTCATTATTTGTGTGGGTGTAGGGAAAGTGTTATAATGCTTCAACTGTAGTTGAGTAGTTATGTTTCTTTATCACTTTCGAAGCCAAAGAACTATTTTAAAATTGAATTAAAAATTGCTACTTATGCAGTTATCTTGTGGACACTCTCCAAAACAGCATTTCTGTAGCTATCTTGGGTCAGAATAGCATGATGAATCAGCATGAAAACACCACCAGTTCAAACACAATTAATTCCCTTCATTCCCCACCAAGATGTGGTTTGTATCCATTCCTCATATTTTACTCATAATGTTTTCTCACTCTTAAATGTAATGAATGCAAAGGGATTGTGATGTGATATAATCTGTTTAATTCAGAACCAGAAAAGTGGAACCTTAAGAGCAAAAGAAAAAATATCCCAACACGCTAATAGGAAATTCTTAAAGAAGAACTCAATTCTGTTCAATTATCCTGCAAAAGTCTTTGTAGCTCCTACCTTTCTATAAAGTTAATACTCATATCATGGATGGAGAGACTAGCAAAAGTGATCATTGACTGAGTATTAAGCTGTCTTGCCTGTTTAATCCTTAAAAAAATTGAAAAGGCATACTCTTGTCTTTCCATCATATCTGTTTTAGTTCTGACACACTTGCCTGTAAGCAGATATCCTTCCTCCAAAGTGAGGGCTTAAATAAAATAGAGATACCTAAAATATATGTTCATCTCAGCTCCCCCTGACAAAGATTTGTGAAGGTTTTTAATTTTTGAAACAAATCTCCACAAATTTAGATTTCTGTGGATAATCAAATGACCTTTCCAACCTAGCTGCTTCCTTGTGCACCCTGTCCAAAGTTAGATATCCCCATGATAGCACACTAACATCTCCTTTGCACCCTTATAGTTTGCACAACTTAGAACAGAAGCAACTTAAAATGTACAAGAAATGCTTGGTGTGTCTAACTAGGAAAAAAATACAAGGTTTTCCAACAGAATGAAACCAGCCCATTTGTATACTCTATGCTAATATGCTTCTTTCAGAAGCTGATATATTCAGATAAAAACCACATCCACCACTAAGGGCTGTGCAGCAAAATCTCTCTGTGAGCAATAGGCTTGCCAGCTGCTGGCATTTCAGTGCTCTCAGTGGCATAAGCTGAGTAGCACATATTTGTGCAAGGGAAACAAATCAAAAAGCCTTTTCAATTTACTCATTTTATCCTTCCTGATGGCTCCTCAGAGCTCTGTTTTACTAACTTAATTATTTATTTAAGAAAAGCTATTATTTCTCTTTACAAACCCAGCCTAACAGTTTGTAATAAATTTGGTTCTTTAAGATTAATTCAATAGTAATATTTTTTCAACTATTTACCTGATTCTCATATCTGCTTCAGGAAGAGTCTAGAGATTTAACAAATTTTAAAATAGCAGATTTATTTGCTGTCTCTACACTGCTTGTAACAGCCTCATCTTTTACTTCATGAGATATGTTACTGGATCACAACAAAAATTTCCTACAGTGCCCTAAAAAGACAGGTGACAGTGCAATTCCTAATTATATTTCAAAATTGTTTCTTTGTCCTGCCTTAACCCTTCTTCCTAAAGACATGTCTCCCCATGTAACCTCAAGATATTCAAGATTTAAGTACATCTAAATGCCTCTGAGGATAGTGGCCAACTTGAAGGACAGTGAATTTCATTCACATTCTCTGCTTCTGGAATTTCTCATTGAAATTTCCTGGTCCTGTATTTGCATTGGTTGCCCTGAGATAGTCAGACTAGTAAGGGAGGTATCATTGGTAATCTTCTTCTTCTACATAACAGAAAACATGGAAGTGGTTTCACCAAAGCCTTATGAAAATGGTCTGACCCTCTAATGCACTGTATACATTGTAATTTTCAGCTCCTGTAATACAAACAAAACTTAAACTAGAGGGATGTGTTTTCAGAGATAAATTTTCCTCAGTGATCATTCAGGGATTTCCTAACTATATATGTGTAAGAACAACTGCAGATATGACACCACTATTACCACCAATGCGAGACTGGCAACACTTCATCATTCACACTTGATTTTCATACTGCCTCCCTGCTTTGCATATTTTGTAGATATGCACTATTTGAAGATTTCTTAATATCCAAACCTAATATTTGGCTGGCTTAGCAGTATTATAGCAGTATAAGAGTAATTATTTTAAAATAGGATTACCAATCATGGGGATTTTTTAATTCTTTATTTCTGAGTAGTAGAGACATTTTGTAAATGAATTGCTGGCTTGTCTCCTTTTATTTATGATACCAACTATCTCAAGTATATAATGGATTTGGGTGACAGAGGTTAAGCATCATAAGTCACAGAATTTTAATTTCAAGTAGGCAGTAGACAATAGTATAATGAATTATGAAGAGATGGTGTTCAATAAACATTCAGTGAAAGAAGTGAGAACACAAAGACAAGAGAATAATTCTAGTTTAAATCAGCACTAGCTGGTGAAAATCAGTCATTTACAAGAGTTTATATTCTTTCTCAATACAGAGATATAGCTCTTGTTAGTATTTTAGGGGGAGAGGGGAGTGGAAGGAAAACTGACAGAACAAGAGATGCAGCCATCAGTGTGACCAGTTCAGTCAAAGCCCTTGTTCAGCACACAGCAGTGACCTCAGATGTTAAACTATGAAATAGAAAAGAGCAAAAGCCCAGTGCTACAGTGTGAATCATCACACTTCCTTAAGAAAGCTTAATTATGTTAACCTTTATATTATATAAAATAATATAATATATTTTATAATATAAAGCTGAATTATTATTAAGCTTAATTATCATTATATTATTTTCTAATATAAAGCTTAATTATATTAACCTTGGTTATGTTTTCAAAAGGTTGGTAGACATTGAGATGGAGATCTCAGAGATGAACATAAGAACAATCAAAGAATAGATATACTTTATGGGGAGAGAGCATAAAAATGCTCTATTCTATTTGTATATCTTACAAATAGAGTAGAAAAGCAGAGAATAACATTGGAAGGTAGATCAGCCTATCCATATTCTCTTGCAATACAGGAATTAAGTTAAAAAATTAACTTAGATGAATTAAGAATAAGCAAATGTCAATGTAACAGCAATTAAAAAAAAAAAAAAAACCAACACCAAAAACACATAATTAGATAATGTCAAATTGGATTTCATTGCTACAATATGCTTTGCAGCATTCAGCTAACTGCTGGCCAATATAGAAGTCACAAAATAAAGTGTACTAGAACAGAGGATGATTGCACAGAAATGAAAGTTCTGAAATTAGTACAAACTGTGATGCTCCCTCATACAAAACAACCTCCATTTACTGTAGGAATCTCTTTTGAAAGATTGTTGCTTTGCAGAAACCTAATACAGAGCTTTTCTTAAAACTTTCTGAAGTAAACAGTCAAGGCTGCTGTTGGATATCAGAGTTGGTAAACGACTTCTAAAATCTAGTTACAAGGTTTTTCAATTTCAGCCAATTGTGTGAAGTTTTAATGAAAGATTACTTTCTAGCTGTTAAAATTCTTGGCATAGAATTTAGGCTGTGGAAAAGGGAAGCGATAGGCTGTAACTTACTTTAGAATAGAACCTGCATGGAAAAAAGAAATCTGACAGTCTTCCTTTGTAGAGGACTGACACAGGCAAATGTGGGCTCTGTGGTGCAGTTTTTACACCAGAACTGAACACCTAAGGTGTACACACATTCTACAGTGTGTACACACCTTCCTGTTGCTCCAGTAATTGCATCTTTTGGAAGCAGCTAAATGCCAATGAGCATAACTTGGTTTTTAAGACAGCAGGTGCAAATTTTTAAAAAACAAACGTTTGAAAGTAAATTTTTTCCTTCAAACAAAACATTATTTATCGACAATGAAATTGAGCTATTCTGGGATTGTCCTAGAATAAAGATAAAACCTTAGGAAGCTATAATTATTGCACCTTCTCTAGTCTGTTAAAACTCTACTGAACCCAGTGAGGTTGCGCTGTCACTTGGAAAGAATCAACCCAAATCTACCTGTGGGATAAAGCAGTTTAAATACATATGTTCCAAATTTTAAAGTAGCTGGAAATGCCCTATTTACTCGCATAGAGCCATGGAATATATTGACCGTTTAGGTCTGGTTTTGCTTTGACACCCTGGCTCCCGAGCGGCAGCAAGGAAGTTTCCCAGAGGGACAGGCAGGCACCTGGGCTCGGATACGGGCGGCAGCTCACCCTGCTCCGGCGGGCTCCTTCGAACAGAGCGGCTGCGGGCTGGCACGGGCCTCGCTCCCTGCTCTGAGCACGGCTCATGTCCAAGGGAGCCGGAGGAGGAGGCAGGAGAGCGCTGTGGGACCGCTCGGTGCGGGTCCCCGCGCCGGGGCTGCGGACAGCGGCGGGCCGGTGCCCGGAGCGGCGGCAGGGCAGGGCAGGGCTCGGGGCGCCGGGCTCTCTCACCTGTCGATACTTATCACACAGAGGGTCAGGATGGAGGCCGTGCAGCACATGACGTCCATGGCGATGAAGACGTTGCAGAAGAGGCGCCCGAAGATCCACTCCCCGCCGATGAGGTCGGTGACGCTGACGAAGGGCATGACGGCCAGGGCCACCGAGAGATCGGCCAGGGCTAGCGAGACGATGAGATAGTTGGAGGGCTGCCGCAGCTTCTTCACGAAGCAGACGGAGATCACCACCAGGCAGTTGCCGGCGATGGTCAGCAGGGTGATGAGGCAGAGCACGGCCCCGATGAGAACTTTCTCCGCGCTGCCGTAGCTGAGGATCTGCTCCCCGCACTGGGAGTCGTTGGCGGGGAGGGGGCTCGCCGTGGGCAGCGCCGACGGGGGGGGCGACGGGCCGAGCTTGGCCAGGCTGCGCGGGGGCCAGGAGCCCGCGATCATCCTGCCGCCGCCCAGCGCCCGCGGCTCCTCCAGCGCCAGGGGCCGCAGGTTACCGTAGAGGTGGCTGCCGTTGAGGGCGAGCACCATGGTGGCGTGAGCAGCCCATGAAGCCTCGCCGCCCGTTCTCCGGCTGTCCCCGGCGCCGGGATGCTCGGGCTCCTCCTCGGGCTCCCGGCGCCGCCCGCCCCCTCACAGCCGGCCGAGCGGCCCGCGGGGGCCCGGCCTTCAACTCCCCCCGGGGCAGCCGGGCTGGCCCGCGGCGCATCCCGGGCGGCCGCGGGGTGGGCTCGGCGCTATCGCCCCCGGCCCGCGGGCGGAGGGGCGGGCGCGGGTGGCGGCCGCTCCCTCCCACCCGCGCCCATCGCCCGCTCCCACCCGCGGCTGCTTTCCGAAGGCGACAGGCGACGGGATGGGAACCGCTCCGCCTCCCTCTCCCTCCTGCCCTCTGAGCTGCAGGTGGGGGTGCGCCCCTTCCCCGCAGTCCGGGGGCCGGTTCCTCCTGTGGCTTCTCCTGCGCGGCCGCCCCAAGCGAGGGGCGCTCTGGGAGCCCCCTGCACATGTGTAAACGTGTGTGGATGTATATGTGTATATGGGTATGTTCGTATATGTGTATATATGTACGCAGGTCTCACCCGGGAAGCTGCGGGCGAGTGGCCGCGGCTGGCGCAGAGGCGACCGCAGGCGGAAGTGCCCCGGCCGGAGCTCTCGGTTTGCCGGCTCCGGCACAGCCCTATGCCACGTCCTGTGTATGTACCCACTTCTCTGTGTAGCCAAGCTTGTAGATTCTTCTTCATAATAAGTTGATGTAAATACTATCACCTATATTTTCTCTTTTATTCATTCTTTATACCCCGATTTTGAATTTACTCAGTGTTCCATGTGTACAGTAAAGCTAAACGAACAAACTCCTATTGCTTGAATTACCTGCTTTTCCTGTAGGCTCCCTGGACTCTTAGCCAAATTCTGTGACTCACTAGCTTTCTCAATTCTTTAAGTCCCATTCTTGCCTCCCAGTAGGGTGAAAACTGTTTGAATTGTGAGTTACCCATGGGATGCCAGCAGAACATCACATCCCTTGATATAGTAGCATGCCAAACAGTAAGGACAAAAAACAAGAAACACCTGCTCCTGAGTGTCCCTCACATTTTCAACATGAGACAGAAGCCAGATGAACTAGAGAAGGAGAGGAAATAAAAAGCGTTGGTCCCAGATGTATCAATAACCATGAGGTTAAAATGAGGGGAGATCTTGCAACAACGTAGAAAGTTTCATTTAAGTATGCACAGGACAGGGAAGAACGGTTTGTGTGGCTCAGTAGTAAGAAAGGCTGCAGGATGGTTGCACATTATACTGACTTTAAAATCTGCTTTGAAGACAAACCTAGTAAGTATCCAGTTATTGGGGAAAAAAACCCCAAACAAAATCCTCAACTGACAGTCCTACAGACTAGTGAAACACAAATCCATAGCAACTGAGGCTTCCATACTTGACTCACAGAACACAGATTGAGCACAGGCAGAGCCTCCTGTGGTCAGAAATGCAGGGTTTGGTAATTCAGTTGCTGCCCTTCCCTACCACTCCCACATCTGATTTGACTACAATAATAAAGTAAGCAATGATAAAGATGAAATCTTGTTGGGCAGCTCTTTGACCATTACCAAGTTGGAAGCATTTTCTTGTTTAGTCAAGTGTTTCCCTACACTTAGTTGCTTTATTGTGTCCAATCACGACAAAAGCAACGAAATCAAAAAATAAAAATACCTGCTAACCACCCATAATGTATTCATGAACCTTGAGCTTCAGGTGAGTTACCCCACCAGGTGATAAATGAAGTTTTTTGTCCTCCTCAGTTAAGTAAATATTAGGAAGAAAAAGGTTTTTAGAAATGGCAAGGTCATATCTAAATTAAAACATTAAGGCAAAACTTGGAGAGAGAATGTTTCCTTATTGGCTGAACATATTTTTTCAAAAATAGCATTTGAAGAACAGCTAAGGAGTTAGGAACTTAGTAAATTTTGTTCAAAATAGATTCTTATCACAAAAGCTGATAAAATTGTACCGTTTAATACTCCCAGTAAAAGCAATTATTCAGTTGCTTAAAATGCCACTAAGGCAGAGCAAATTATAATCTGGTGCTTCCTGCAAATGAGTTAACACAGTTCATTAAATCAGTCATTCTTCTCCACAGCTTTTCAATACCCTTCTGGGACGTGACTCTCTAAATGTTCTCAGTGGATGATACACAGGATCATTTGGTAGAGTACGGATGACTCCTACCCACTCCAACCCAAAAGCAGGACTGAATTTTATCTTTTGTTCTGTATCTTAAATTCCTTTACAGTCCATTCCAAGTTAATCACCTGATTTCTTTCCTACTCAAAGGCCATGTTACCACTCTTTGATTTGCTGTTGTAATCTTACCTTTGAAGAAACAAAGCAATTTAAGCCAATTTATGTACCATTATAGAAAGGGATTTATGTACTACTGCAGAAGAGATGTGAAAAACCCTGCCAAGACAAAGCAGCTGACACCTTACTAAAATATGTTCCTTGAAAGCTTTTTACTAGGACACACCTAAAATAACTTCCAGTTTCCCAGGCTGGGCTGAATCCAGTGAGGTGTTTTCCATGAGGGTTTAGAGGGTTTCACATGGCCAAGTGTCCGGAAGAGCAAAGAGAATCCATCGTTCCATGAGCTGACATCTAGTCTAGGCACTTAAAATAACAACACATGAAAGTAGGATTTCATCTTTCCAAGGGTACATCCCACTTTTGTCTTCAGTAATCATATTTTAAAATTCTAATAATGTTGTTCCAGATAGAATACAGAAGTGAAACAAATGTCCAATTAGGTGTCAAGAATAACAAGCTGACATTTGTTCTCTACCCAAGAAATTGCTTTTTAACCTTCCATTAGGCTTCAAAAAATATAATCAAATCATTTTTCTGGTTGAGCTTAGTAAAATCCTGTTTTTTGAGTAATTTAGGCTCTCTATGCATAAAAGCCTCTTAATACTTCCATATACCTCCAATTCTGTGCTAAGTTCTTTCTTTCTGCACTTAGTGAAGTTAAGCTATTTTGTTAATATTTGATAATGTACTTTATTTACAAATCTCACCTTCAGTATTTTATTATTGTTATGTAGAAAATATTCAGATTATAAAAAGAAAAAAAAATGCAAAAGAACTTTTTATTTTCATTTTTTCTCTCTCCCAAAGTAAACTCCTCTGTTCAGTTTTTCCCCTCCTCCAGAAACAGTGCTAATCACGTAACATCTTCAGCATTTGTTATTGATACTAAGTGTATACTATTGCAGTGGGTATTGCTATCAATTCTTTGCTGCCATGTTAGTGAGATAAGGTAAGACAGGTCATTAGGGCTAGGCAAGGAAATACAGTTTCCCAAACACATTTTGATTTAGTGGGGCCAGACTGTATCTATCAAAGTGTTTATGTTGAAAAATCTTGCATTAAATCCTGGATCCTTCATCCCTCCCTGGAGGATCTGATGCTAGCAGACAGCAGGTCTGTGCTAATGTGGAGGATCCTGACTGAAATGGGTCAAGGAATGCAGTGCAAGAGCTTCAGCAGCAGAGGAGAAAACGCTGACAGCCCAGCACGGTAACACCTTCCCTCACACAGCTACCTCTAGAAAACAATAGCCCTGCTCAGCTGGAAAAGCTGAAGGTACAGCTGTGTTCCCCTTCTTAAACCATTCAGTATTGTACATAAGGCAGGAAGGTAACATGAGTATGCAATGCAATAAATAAACAGATCAGAAATTTTTCTTGTTCTTTTTTATCATCCCCTCTTTTGTCCTTCCTTGCCTGAGAGAGCTTATCTCCTCAAACTGTTGTTTTAATTTGTCTGTCATATTTTCCTTTTTCTCTTTTCTTTTCTTTTCTTTTCTTTTCTTTTCTTTTCTTTTCTTTTCTTTTCTTTTCTTTTCTTTTCTTTTCTTTTCTTTTCTTTTCTTTTCTTTTCTTTTCTTTTCTTTTCTTTTCTTTTCTTTTCTTTTCTTTTCTTTTCTTTTCTTTTCACTTTTCTTTTCTTTTCACTTTTCTTTTCTTTTCACTTTTCTTTTCTTTTCACTTTTCTTTTCACTTTTCTTTTCACTTTTCTTTTCTTTCTAGAGGTATTACTGAAACCTTGATTTTTATTCCCAGCATGTACTGTTTAGCAAATAACACTTGTCTAATTTCTAGAAAATATGTTGCAGCTGCACTTTTCTGCCTTTTCTTGTCTTTGTGAAGATAAATCATCATCACTCTGTGGCAGTAAAACAGAGAGGTAACTATTCCCGTATTTGGCCATTTCTTACCATTGTCAAAATAAATACTTTCATCTGTGCAACTTAAATATGAAATTATGTCTTCCCTTTTCTGGAACCAGCAAATCCTAACAATGACAAGCTGGCATCTGAAAAGAAAATGAACAATTAAGATGCTTAAAATTCTGTATCACTCAAAATGAGAGCTTCCAACTCTGAAAACACCATCTGTACCTTTATATTGGAGATTGTGAGGTTATGATGAAAGTGACTGTGACATTCATGCTACTGAGGTAGATAGTAATAAATAAAATCTTAGAATTGCTGAGGTAGGTAGTAATAAATAAAATCTTAGCACCCAAAAGAGTGCCAAATGCAGAACTAAAGCAAAAACACCCTAACAGTTGCTACCAGGGGCTGCCCATTGAAAACCTATTAGAAGAATTGTGATGGTTTCTGCATTAAAATTTACTGAAAGGATAGTCTTGAGGTCTAAGTGTATTGAGAAAGAAACACTTGGAATGAGGAGATCTGTTTTCACCAAGGAGAACTTAATGACAGCAATGAAACAAAGCATGTTAGAAGCTTGCAGCTTAACAGTGAGGACCATAAGGAAGATCTCCCCAAATCACAGGGTCTGATGTAAGTAAAAGCAGTAATAGCTAAATAATAACATGGGAAATAAGACTGTGCACTGTTCTAAGTACAATTTGTGATACCTGGTGCTAAAAGTTCTTTGTACTTGGATTCTTACACCATTACAGAAAATAGGGTTCTGTAGATCTGCATGAAGATCTGTTTAAATGTCCTCCATTTTAAGCACCTCAAAGAAGGGTTTCTTTTGCTTGCATACTGCCAAACACAAAGGCTGCTTAATCTTTGGTATTTCTGAACACTGCTGCAGTAGGGCCATTTAGAAATAACTGAT